ACACAGCAACACATAGCAAAGCACATTAGCACTCCAGGTCCCTCTCAGTGACATTACTGTCACCAGATTTCTGAACCAGAAAGTTTATATGATCACACCATGGGATCACCACAAAGTGCAGATTTCCTGTACTTATTATCCCTCTTAATGTCACTATTTGAAGAGGCAGAGGATGAAATCTTGGGGTTGAAAAAACACAAATTCTAAGCAGATCCTTAGCAGGGACACCTCCCACTATCCCAGGTTGTTCAGAGCCCTGTCCAACCGGCCTTGAACAGTTCCAGGGATGGGGCATCCACAGCTTCTCTGGGCAACCTGTGCCAGGGCCTCCCCATCTTCACAGGGAAGATTTCCCTCCTCATATGCAATCTAAACCTCCTCTCTGTCAGTGTAAAGCCATTGCCCCTTGTCCTGTCACTATATGGTTTTGTAAAATAATTGATTTGATCTTTCCAGATACAACTCTGGCTGAGCCCTACAATGCTCTAACACACGTTTGAGACAGCACTGACATTTTAATAAATATACTCCATTTACCTTTGAGGAAAAATACTCAACTGGAAGGAAAAAAGAACCCTGATGGCTGCATTTGTTTAATTTTAGAAAGAGACAGCTGTACTTCTTGATTCTCCAGCCAGGAGCACCAAAATCCACAGCACAATTTAAGCAAGTCTACCAATTTAATTATTTGCCACAGAAAATTGCAGGGAGGAGGGCAGAAGGTTTCTTTTGGTAAGAAATTCAAGCTTCATGTCTCTAGACGGAAATATTCACTTTCTAGGAAGCAAATATGTCATTCTGAGCAGAGGAGATGCATTCTAGGATCCAGGGGTAAAAAAAAAAAAAATCACAACAAATGCAATAAAAATCTTAATGGGGGCTGGAAGTGGGAGAGCAGCGCTTCTGAAGGAACAGGACAAGTGTATTTGTGACTGCACTATTTGTCACCACATTCCTTTGGAAGATTTTTTTTTTTTTGTGTTTGAATGGAAAACAACCAGTAAAAGCTCATTAAAAAAATATATACATATAGTTAAACTCCATTTGCCTAACCATCAGCTAAAATGATTGACTCACTTTTTTAGGATAGACCTTCTTTTCCCTCACTATTACAATGACTTTTTGAGAGGAGTCACTATGCTCACACACATTCCAAACAGACCTTTGGCTGGATTCATCAATCAGCTCATCACACACAAAGTTTAAAAGTAACAACAACTCTTTTTACTTTTTTTCTGTTGTCCAAATTATGAAGAGGAATCAAAATGATCAAGCAATGTTTATATGAAGCCATTCTGGTTTTCACAAAATGCACAGAAAACTTAGTGGAGAATGGGCTGTCAAATGCACATTTTTAAAAGAGACAAGGATGAATCTTGGAAAAGCTCATCTCTCCTGGCAAAAATATTTTTAAAACAAGAGTCGTGGTTCTCTATTTAAACTGTGTGCTGTGGTGTATTTTTGTTTTGGTGAGGGCTTTGTTACTCATGATTAAACAGTCACTTCTCTTATTTGTATTAAAGCCAAATCTTTTTTATCACTTGCAAACAGTTTGAGTTAAAAAGAGAATAAAGCAGAGCTAGATATAACTCATAAAAGGTAGTACCAAGTGTTCTTTAAGATCCCAGTGAGAGATGATTTCACTCTCCGGAAACTTGTAGCTGAATAGTTTTATGTCTGTCCTGAACAGAATTCCAGTGACCCGCCCTCCAGCCAAGGCAATTCCAACTCCTTCTAAGTTACAGATACAGACAATTTTAGTATCCAAAGTGATATTATTCTCTCTTGCATTCAACAAATTACATACACATTTTTGAAAATAAGCCTTGTTCGGGCACCAAATGAGACAACTCTCACTCTTTTTTTTCTTCTGTTTTAAAGAATGAGGGGGCATTTGAGACTGAGATTTAACTGCAAAAAGTAATTTAAAAAACCCAAAACCATAACCAACCAAAACACCCTAAAATTCTTACTTTGGGTAGTTATTTCCTCTTCTGCAGTGATCAAGAGATGGGCAGCAGGGGAAAGGGAAGGATCTCACAGTGCAAGAACAGGTAACACAAATGTTATTTATCAGGAGTACAGCCCCAGAGAGAGACTTTTTACTGGAAGAGCTCCAATTTCTAAGGAATCAAGGAGCATTAGCCGGGCAAGTTTTAGTGACACAGTCTCATGGCCAAAGGATTAGACACTGGATATGGAACAGAACCTCTTACAAAGGCTCATAGCCCAGTACAACTTGTTTTTTTAATGCTAAAATAGCCCCAGAACATAAAAAAAATAAAAGAAAAAAACACCAAGAAATTTGTATCCTGAAGTCGTTATTGAATTTTCATGATATGGGGGAAGAGTTGGAAAGTGCATAGATGGAAATCTTTTTGTTGCCTTTATCACAGCAGAAGATCAGGAGACAGGACCATGCATCCGATCAAGTGACAAGCAAAAGGCACTTTTTAAAATAAAAAGTTCCATTTAAGGACAACACACTCTGACTGCCAGGATGAATGAACACTGCTACAGTTAGGCGTCCACACTTGTGCACATTGAGAACCCAACTGCCCCTGCTCCTGAGCAATCTGCTCTGCCTGGCCCTACTCTGAGCAGCAGAGCTGGATAGTGTCCAAAGATACCTCCTAACCACAGCTCTACACTAATTTTGATTTTCCTCTTTTTGAATTACTGGACAAAGCTTTATTTTTCACATGTCTAGAATAGAGGCAGCTTCATTTGTCCATGAGAAGCTTCTTAACTATGGTGTCTTAATCCAGGAATCTTTGGCTTGTGCTTTCCTCAGTGGATATGGCTGTAAAATAAGCCAGTTTTCAGATATTCCAGACACTGCACTTCAAGAAAATAATATATTCTTGCAATTCACATTTCAGGCTCAGTGAAGAAGACTGTGTTTTGTGTGTTGTATGCTTTAAGTCAGGGACCTAATAAACTGGAAGGCACAACAAAACAAAAGGAGTATCTCACAAACTTTACAGACAGACAAAATAATCCTGAGTACAGCCAAGTTATGTGACTGTTGAAGGAGCCAGACTGCAAAGTGGAAAATCCCATCAGAGCCAAGCGAGGAGGAAGCCAACTAAGACTGGCTAGTTTCCACCACCAAATGTCAGGTGAGATTTAGAGGGATCCATTTTCGTAGATTCCCGTTCAAATTCAAGTGACAATTACTCCTGGTAAGCTGGGACCTACAGCCAAATCACAGGGTCAGCCAGATGGTTCTGTCCTGATGAATGGCCTGACAGGAGAGCTGGGAAAGCCCTCCCTGCCAAAGACACACACAGGTGTAATTTATATGGTGCTTGATACTGTCCTAGCTGTCCCAGCAAGAGAGGAGTTGTTCTAGGGGTTTTCTAGAGAGGGTATTTGCCTTGGGAAGGAATTTCCAAAGGATTATCTTGATTTGACTCTGCTTGCAGCTGAAATTTATCTCAGCATGGAAGCAGTGTCACCTGTCCCAGACAAACTGGTGACGTCTTACAGAAAATGAAGTCCGCAGAGCTGACAAAACCTGTGTGCATTTCCAAGGCTGAAGGAGTCTTTATTGAGTTCAGGCTAATAACTGAGGATACAGAAGAAAACACAAGGAGAAATTACACAGGACATTAAGTTACTGTCTAGAACTGGGAGCCTGACATTTTTGTGGGAGAAGGCAAAGGAAACAGAATGAAAGGGATATTGAAAACAAAGTGAAGAACAAGTGTCACAACCACTTCATTATTTCTAAACATGTATCACGTAATCATGACTAGAAAATGATCACGCTAGCAGAATTGTTTCTCAAAACTTTTGAGAATGTTTCCCTGCAGGAAGAAAATGAGATATGGAAGCAACTGATGAACCAATTACCATTAAACAAAAAGCTGCAACTAAACCAGTAAAGAAACATTTAACAGTTTAACATCAACTCCAAGATTTGAGAGACAAACAGATTTTCTACAATTTTTAAATGACGCTTTAACAGCTATTTGGTGCATACAGATAAGCACATGCTAGCATTTTGGTCAATCCTCTTAAAGTATAAAATAAATAAATGCCAGTCTTCCACTCCATCAGATGTAAGTAGATGGAAATTATATTTAGAAGTTAATATTTAAATAAACAACAATTTCAGAGAAATTGACTTTGTGCTTACAGGGAGAATACCTTGCTGACATTCACAGATCTAATTTTCTATTAGAAAATCATTATTTTCAAATTGAGTCAGACTGCTAATACAATCTTGCAAAACCGCTGGTATACTGAAAAATGCAGAAGCTCACCTTTAAACTATTAATTTTAGGTAAAACATAGGTTTTAATGCCTAAATTTAAGTAGTATATAAAGCAAATTATAACATTTTAGTGAAGAATAAGTATCAGCATAGGAAATACTGACGGGATAAGGTTGAGGCTTATTCAGGATGCCCTTAATCACTGAGAAATATCTGGCCAGACGTTCTCGTGGTGGAGCCTGAAAGATTTTATTTTTCTCTTCTAAACTGTTCAGCAAAGGGATAATAGCGTAAAGACTTCCAAGTTACCCTTTCATGAGCAATGAGTTATGTGGCATGCAGGAGTCAGAGGAGAACCTGAAGGATCTATTTCATTGATCTATACTATTCCCAATATAGCTAAAGATACAGTGGGTATAATTTCAATGAACATCATCAGCCAACCAATTATATTGCACTGCTTTTATATTTTCTTTGGTACTCAGAATATTGACAGTTTAGCACCTTCCTTAGTCCAACAACCAATGGCAGCATAATTATTATTATATAAAGAATATATTTTTACTAAAGGTAAGGTTATAGATTTCAAAATGTTTCTTCTGTGTTTTTTCAGTCTCTCTCTGGCAGGTGAAAAATCCAAGGCTACAAGTTTATACTGCAAGATTATCCCACTGTGCACTGTATTTTCTGCTCTGCTGGTACCCAGTGCTCCCCCACCTCCCCTGGGTTTAGCTTCACAAGAAAAGCTTCACCCCATTTCCCATCTGGCAGTACTCACCAATAGCCTGAGCAAGGGCTATTACAACTTCCTGGCATGTTGTGACTTCGGTGACCCCACACACGATTCTCTGCACTCCATCCACCCATACTTTGAGCTCCATGGTTCACCAGATCATCCAAGACCATGAGTGCAAATCAGTCAAGTCATTCTTGCAGCTACACCAGAGACATGCAGCTGACTTCCTGCAGCAGCTGGAACAGAGAAAAATCCTGGTGTTTAGAGGAAAAATCACCAATTTGAAAAGTTGACAACTCCACCTTGACAGCTATCAGGTAGAAGAGCCAACACAACCTCCTTTCTTTGAAAACAACAACAAGAACCACACATTTATGCATTTTGGGGGCAGAGTGGCTGGAAAGTGCCCAGCAGAAAAGGACAGCAGGTGCTGGTCAACAGCAGCTAAATATGAGCCGGCTGTGCCCAGGTGGGCAAGAGGGTCATTGGCACCTGGGCTGGGTCAGCAATGGTATGGCCAACAGAGCCAGCGCAGTGACTGTTCCCCTGTTGTGGGCACTGGTGAGGCCACTCAAATCTGTGTCCAGCTCTGGGCTTCTCACTTCAGGAAGGACATGGAGGGGCTGGAGCACGTCCAGGGAAGGGAACAGAGCTGGGGAAGGGGCTGGAGCACAAGTCTGATAAGGAGCAGCTGAGGGAGCTGGGCTGGAGAAAAGGAGGTTCAGATGGGGAACCTTCTGGCTCTCCACAACTCCCTGACAGGAGGGGAGAACCAGGGACTGGGTGGGCTCTGCTCCCAGGGAACAGCCTCAAGTTGTGCCAGAGGAGGCTCAGGTTGGATATCCAGAGGAATTTAATAATGAAAGGCTTCTCAAGCACTGGAAGGGGCTGCCCAGGGAGGTTCATAGTCCCTACACTGGAGGTGTCCAAGAAAAGACTGGATGTGGCACTCAGTGCTCTGGACTGGGTGACACGGTGAGGATCAGGCACGGGTTGGACTTAAGTGTTCTTGTCCAACCTCAGTAATTCTGTGGTTGCATTCTAGGATCCCATGCTTTAACAATGTCTACCTCTTCTTCAGACTTACCCAAAGCTTCATTACAGTTTATTTCCTGAAATTTTATGAGTTGTTACAAAAATAGCACCCAGAGAAAAAGCACTAAACTCTAGAATAAACTCATGAAAGTTTCCAGTAGCAGGTGCCTTTACTCCTTTACATGCTGCCTGATAGTTTCCAGGGACTAGAGTAAGGATGTTTTCATTGTTTGTTCAATAATTTCTATCTATCTTGAAAAACAAGAGGGAAACATTTTTAATTACAGCCATCCATGAGAGGCTTTTGTCTCCCTGAAGAAGGAGCTGAATGTTCTTACTCCCAAAAAACCCATGCATTTTGTAGAGAGCAAAGCGAGGAGACAGATTGCTTCTCTCTCTCTCTAAAACAAAGAGATACTTCAAGGAAAGTGTTCTAGGGGTGGTTTAACCCCTGCCAGCACTGTGCTGGTTCTGTGAGGAACCAGATGTTGTCTAATGTCTTTTCCTAGGTTTTTCCATAGGCTCTGCAATGATACTATGCAAAAAAAAAAAAAAAAAAAGAAAAAAAAAAAAAAAAAAAAAAAAAAAAAACCCCAAAAAAAAAAAAAAAAAAAAAAAAAAAAAAAGAAAAAAAAAAAAAAAAAAAAAAAAAATCATAGTAAACCCACTAAAAATTGTTGTCTTCAAAACATAGAATGTTCCCTCAAAAATGAAACAAAAACCAAGTCACCAGTAATGATGATTAAATCTTACAAAACCCAGACACTAACAAGAAAGCAAACACCCAAAAACCACCCACAAACCAACCAACAACAAAAAACCAAAATCAAATAAAGAAAACCTAATGAGGCAGCTGCACTGCTTAAGCAGATAGAGGGAAAATAAACGGTGATAACATGATAAAAGAAGCTCATGTACTCAGGTAATCCCATATGGATAAAGTGATAAAACTAAAGACAATATTTTTTAAGAATTAAGTACCAGGAAAATGGGTAACACAGGGATGGAGTAAAAGAAATCTGAAAATTAGGGTAGATTAGCGAAGATAGTCAGGGTTACACAAGAAACATGTAATCTGATGATGCTGATGGACTGAACAGAACTGCACCGCATGGAGGCAGAAATGGTGCAGAGAACGCTGTGCAAACAGCTAATGTGTTCACATTTGCAGTGTAACCAGAGCTGCTTTTTCCTGGGGATGTGAACATCTCTTCCTGCATCTAAAAGATGCACCACTGCAGCCCCCAAACTAAAGGGGAAAAAATGACTTCCCATCTACAACCAAACAGTTCACCCAGCAGATGGCAAATACTAACACGTGATGCAGAGGATATCTGGAAGATCCTCACCTGACAGGCTGGGGCAGCAACAACCTCAGAGCCGGTTAGAGCCCCCCCACACCAACAGAATGAGCTTTAGCAGAAAAGCACCAAGCAGTAAAGTCAGGCCAACAAACACCCCCAAAATCCTGGCAAAACCTACCTGTTCAGAAGTATAGGTAAAGTTTGTAAGTAAAACCAGGTCTCAAATAGAGTTGCATACTCAACAGAAAAGTGATCACTTTTAAGAATATCGATGTATACAGAAATAGTCTTTTGAGACATGAACAAGAACCTGAAAATCCAAAGAGGTGTCGATAAACCCACATAAAGCTAGGTAATTCAAAGAAAACATCTAACTGCACAAACATTAATCATGTACAAACAAAGACTTCACTCAGGTTAACACCATTTTAATGTACCAATAAACTATGCAGAAGAAAATCTTTTACCAGCCTGTAACATAGCAGTGACTGAGAAAACACCTCACAGGCCTCATCAGTGACCTCTGCTATTTATTCTTGGACCAGCTGTCTTCAGAAACAAACAGACCTCACATTCCAAGCCCAGCTGTAAGGAACTTTATTAATTAACTTAATAACTTGCTGAAGGTTGAACAGTTAAGACTTCCTGGCACTGACCAAGCCATCTCTCCATGAGACAACGCACGTGTCAGCAAAGCATCCGACAGCTCTTATTGTTTTTTTGTCTGTCAACATCCAAAGTATTACCTCAATTTAGCAAGCCAGCAAATGCATTTTTTCTCCCAGTCAGCAGACAATGTACAGTCTTGTGCTTAGTGCAGATCAGGTTTGGTCATTTGTTTTCCTACAGTCCATCTTAAAAAAAAGCAAAGACTAAAGAGAAGCATCATATAACATCATAAGGAACTATTTGCTGACACTTCCAAGTTTGAAGAAAGCATTCACCAAAGATGCAGATGATCTGAACAAAGTGCCTTTGAATCAGTTCAAGCTCAGGGGAAACATTCCCATTCATTTCTTACAAGACAAATAGTTTTAATAGACCAAATAAAATTAAGAATTTGTGGTACACGCATCCCTCAGACCAACAGGCAGCGAAGAATTAAAGGAATGTGTTAATAAAAGGGCTGCCCAGGTGAAGTCCCCATCCCTGGAGGTGTTCATGAACAACTGGATGTGGCTCTCAGTGCTCTGGTTTAGTTGACAAGGTGGGGATCAATCACAGGTGGGACTCAATGATCTCGGAGGTCTTTTCCTCCATGGATTCTGGGATTCCATGTGCCCCACAAGAGCTCACAGGATTCCCTTTTGGGGACCTGCCACTAGGAACACACACTCACATCAGAAATGTAAGATCTCTGTGCTGAAATCACTGTGTCTCAGAGTTTCTAAGCAAAGCTCATCGGTACTAAGTAAAAAATAGATCTAGGACTGGTTTGGTTTCTAGGATTGTGCAGTAGAAGTTCACAAAGAGATCTGAAAATCAGAAAATTTTCTGGCCACGTGCTTATCCTCTGCTTCCCAAATATAACTCTGTAGCACTGTTTTATTAGTATTTGGTTTTCCTTTATAGGTATTCTGTTCTTCATCTGCTGTTAGTTAACTTTCATACCAGTAAAAGCTGATTTGCCTCCCCACTGATGGTCATCCAACAGCTTCAAATATATTTTTTGACCTGAAATCTGTGCTCATAATGCACATTGTGCTTTTATCTTAGAGGAAGCAAAATAAGCCTTACCTATAACACTGTGCAAATTTCTTTCTGAAATCAGTGGAAGGGCTGGGGGGGGGGGGGGAATTGCACTTCGGGTTTCTCAATCCCGTAAGTTCAAAACCAGTTCACCTTATGCAATTAATTTCAGCAATGACTGGGAATAGGAATGAAAAACTAATTTACCGAGAGGCATGCAAGCCAAGGCACGCCTGGGATCACAGCTTTTCTCCAGTTTGTCATCCATCAGCTCCACAGCCACACACAGTTGTGCTTGGAATCAAGCACTGGAAATGTGGCATTCCACAGCTACTTCCTTCCCCCACTTCTCCATTACCTTGCCTGAAGCTTCCCCAATTACCTTGTTTACCGTGCATTAAGCATTTTCCCTAAATCCCCCTTAGCTGATGGTATCTTACTCTTTCAGGTATTTGTTCAGTTTTTCAGTGTAAAGAAAATCCAGCATATATATCCATATATACACACACACAAATACATATATAGCATATATATGCTACTATTTAGCTATCTCTCCACAACTTGTTTACAAAATATAGAAAAGGCTGAAGCTTCACAGAAGACAAGCAGATCAGACTAAGTGCAAAGGACTTTTTTAGCATTTAGGAAGAAACAATATTCCAAGCAGATGTTTGCAAGACATCTTGCCATTAACGTTAAGTCACAAGGAAACCCAAGATAGCAATTTCCCCTCATTTCTACTTTTTACAAGGTTCACACTGCCTGAAAGCATCATGCACCTCAAATCAGGGCTAAAATCCTGCTGCAGCCAAATTTGACCAACCAGTTCAGTGACTTTCTGTAGCCCCATCAAGTCACCAGCATGTTGTTTAATACACTTGAAAGTCAGGGTGCTTTCATTTGTAATTAGCAATAACCAAACATCGTTTGGAGTCTGGCATTTACCCTTTATTTTCCATTCCCTGTACACTATGGCAAAGTTGTGCTCCTTGTTTTTCCCTACTATGACACCAGATAGGGCCCTGGACAAACAGGCAGCTTGTTCAACCTGTGCTGTGACCCATTAATAAGAATAATTACTCAGTGCTAGTAAGGCCTGACTGGAAAACACCAAACAAATGAGCACAAAGAAGCCAGTCCAGATACCCAGAAAGTTTCTAAGCCATCTAGAAGAGCATGAACAGGGATGCATTTGGAAGGTCTTCCCA